CATCCATCCATGCATCCATCCATCCATGCATCCATCCATCCACCCACCCATCCATCCATCCATCCATGCATCCATCCATCCATCCACCCACCCACCTATGCATCCATCCATCCATCCATGCATCCACCCACCCATACATCCATCCATCATTTTGTTCTGGACTCAGGTCTCGAGGTCAGCATCTTGAGCAGGGAGGTCCAGACATCTCTCCACAGCCAGCTCTTCTGGGAGGACTCCGAGGTGTTCCCTGGCCAACCGAGGGACGTGGTCTCTCCAGCGCGTCCTGGGTCTTCCCACCGGCCTCCTCCCAGTCCGACATGCCTGAACCAGCTCAACTGTCTCCTCTGGATGTGGAGGAGCAGCAGTTCTACTTCGAGTCTCTCCTGATAACTGAACTTCTTCCCCCGTCTCTGAGGGAGAGTCCAGCTCTGCAGAGGAAACTTGTTTCAACCTCCTGGATCCAGGATCTGGTTCTTTCAGTCTCTACCAGAGTTCATGACCAGAGGTGAGGGAACGTAGACCGACCAGTAAACAGAGAGCTTTGTCTTACAGCTCAGCTCCCTCTTCACCACAACGGACCGGCACAAAGTTCACAATACTGCAGACGCTGCACCAACCCGTCTGTTAATCTCACGCTCCATTCTTCCTTCACTGAGAACAAAACCCAAACTCCTCCACTTGAGGCAGAACCTGAAGAGAACGATCAGACTGAGGACCGGCTGTTGCCAGAAACACAAACTTTACATCATGACCTTTTTTTAAAAAAAATTGGTATTTAGTTTAGTTTAAAACTGATTTTTCATATTTTTATTTCGTCTGCATAGTTTGTTTTAGCTGTTCATACATCAAAACGTTCGGCTCATTTGCACTTTTATACTCTTCAAAACATTTTTTTATTCATGAACACGTTTTACATCGTTCTGAAACCTGTAGTTGCTTTTTCTATTCTTATGACACTTTTAGCTACAATTCTTTTACTTAGCTTTTTGCTACCTTTAGCTATCATTATGCTTTTACCTACCCCTTTGCTACTTTAAGGTTTTAGACAGTTTAATTAATTTTAGCCTCTAGCTAGTTTATTTTAGCTAAGTTTGCTGCCTTTAGCTAGGCTTTTGTTACATTTAGCTACCACTTATTGAACGTTTAGCTAGCATTCTGCTTCTTTTAAATGTTTGTTTTCCCCAGACTAAAACAGTTTGTTCGAGGCTGAAATGTTTGTTTCTGAACGATCCTTCCGAGGCAGAAAATCCAGAATTATTAAAGAACCCAAAAAGAGTTTAAGGCATTTTATTTTTTAATTGACAAGAATCACTCGAGTCACAGAAAACTCTTTCAGCACAACTCGACGTGTGACCCAACACAACCGGAGACGGCTCGGACAAACTTCAAAACATCAAACACATTTTTACATTATTTATATATTTACGATGGACCCACGGGTGTCCAAACAACGGCCCGCGGGCCATTTGCGGCCCTTGGAGTGATTTTGTGGGCCCACAGCTCCAGCAGGCTTCGAGGTCGATGCAGACTTCCAGCAGATTCGTTGGTAATCCTTTTTATTTAATGTTTAGGTTTAACAGCAAAACTGATTAAAAACAATCTCAAAATGAGCAATATTAAACAAAATACATTTTTATGGCCCACGAGTCCTTTCACCTGGATAGTTCTGTCCCACAGATCGTTTGGACGCCCGTGCGCTCACTGGTCTTAACCTCGAACGTTTGGTCGTCTCATCTTTCTGTGCCACGTTCAAAGATTTTAAAAAGTTATTTTCTCAAAACAAGCGTTGGTCCATTCGTTTAACAAATTTATGCAGAAAAACAAGCATGGTTTTCTTTTTTTTTTTTTACAACAAACGATACAAAGTACGGTAAAGTACGATCGTACAGCCTCTCGTCACGTCACAGAACAGCCGAGCCTGAAGTCTCAGCGAAAACTCCTCGATCCCTCCGTTCAGTCCGAGCCCTCGGGTTTTTCAAACTGACCGTCGACTTGTGACGCAACCGTCAGATTATTTATTTTCAACTTGTGACGCAACCGTCAGATTATTTATTTCTGTGCATAAAAACCGTGTTTGACGAGAATACAGTGGAATCTGTGACGTAAAAGATATTTCAGCTGAAAACGTTTCATTTTTCAGTCGATCAAAGATCCGTTTATTCTCCAGACCCGTTCGCGTCCTCTTAAAGTAACAGATGGTTTTTGTAAACAGCAACGTGAAACTTTTAACACCTAAAACATAAAACGACTGTAAACCCTCTTCTCCTTCCTCATGCTCTCAAACTTCTCCAGCACTTTCTCGCGCTCCGGATTCGGTTTCGCCTGCTCTTTGTCGGACGTCCTACATCTTCCGTCTTTCTCTTTTTTGGCGTTCTCGTCCTCCTTTTCGTCGTCGGTGACGGCGGGCTCCCGGTTGGCGTCGTTCCTGCTCTGGCAGTTAGCGGAGATCTTCCCGAGGAGCAGCTTGGTGTCGTCCCGCAGGTTGCTGCTCGAGAGCACGTTTGCGGTCGACGAGTTGTAGCGGGACGGGCTCAGTTTGGGCTGCTTGGACGTTGCGTCTGTTGGGCCGGTGCTGCTATTTTGTTTTGTCTGCTCGTTCGTTTGGTCACTGCTAACGGAGTCTTGAGTACCAGAATCTTTGTCATTTTGGTCCTCTGAGTTTCTTTGTTCCATGTTCACTGACTGGAGTTCTGTTGGCTCCAATGGTTCGGGCTCTTTGCTTGTTTGGGACGTTTTGTCTGGTTCGCCTGGTTCACAGGTCATGTCAGCCTCTGATCTGGCGTCCAGCGCAGGCTCAGGCAAGCCGCTTACCATCGGTGCCGATCCCTTTAAGTTTAAATCCACAGCAGATACGTTGGTTTCAGTTTTTATCGTTTCAAGGGATCGCTCCGGTTCAGACGAGACCGTTTCAGCAGGGCCGGGTGCATCGAAGCCCGTCAGGCCGAGGTCATGTGACGGAGCCGCTTGTTTTACCGATCCCGTCTCTGAAGTCAGTCGATCAGATGGAGCCTCCAGTGAAGTCCTTCTGACATCAACTTCCTTGTTTACGTCAGGTCTGGAGAAGGAACTCTCCGGTTCAGACAGTAAACCTGACTCGGGTCCAAAGGTGGCGTCAGATTTTATATCCCCAGATGATCCAGGAGCCTCGCGCTCCTCTTTTCCTAGTTCTGCTCCTTCTGCTGAAGGTGCAGCAGCTGAAACCTCCTCACAGCTCGTGGGGGAGGGGAACAGGTTTGGCTTCGGACCAGTTCCTACATTTGAGGACTCATCTGCTGATGGGTTCTCGGTTGATACAAAATTTAAAGCAGTTTTGTTGTTCGGACGATCAGATTTTTGTAAACTGTCATCAGACGACTGCGGAACATGATCTAAACCAGTTTCAGTGTTCAGACCGTCCAGTTGTAGTGACGTTGGTTGGCAGGAACCAGATGTGGGAACATGATCTAAACCAGTTTCGACACCAGGTTTTGGTGGAGTTTCATTAGATATATGAGAGGACTCTTGCAGGGAGGATTCAACAGGTTCCTGTGCTTTGGTTTCATCAACTTTAGAAGGTTCTGGACAAACATCAGAGGTCTCTTCTGTCAGAGGAGAACTGTTCTGAGACCCAGAAATGATCAGAGCTTCATCAGACGTGTCTGATCCAGTGTTTTGTTCAGACGGGAGAAGAGAGACGGTTTTGGTTTGTGACTGGGAGGATTCAGGATGTTGGAGGTGAGCGTGCAGTCCAGGAGATGATGAAGAATCCACTGACCTGGACTCCTCTGAGGTAGACTCTGGAGTGACGTTTTCTGTTTCATCAGTACCAGGAGACGAAACGTGAACAGGGGCAGCAGCTATCTGAGAGTTCCCGGCTACAACAGGATCTGGCACACTTGGTTCTTCTGGTACCGTCTTCAGACGGGCTTCAGTTTGTGCAGGAACAGGGAGACTCCCCAATGACTGTTGGCCTGTTTCCTCTGAAGCTAAATGTTTGGTTTCTTGGTCTCCACAGGTTGGAGAGGCATGGTCCTTTTTGGTGGCTAAAGACAAAGAAACTGATTGAGATGCTTCTGAGGACACGGTGTCCCCTGAACCTTCTGAAACGGCAGCGTTCACTTCAGATGTCGAAGCGTTTGTGCTTTTTGAAGGTGCATCTGGAAGAAGCTCTTCCTTCAGTAAAAGTGATCTGGATCTAAGATCAACTTGTCGTTTCTCCTCTGCCTTGTTCCATTCCTTTTCAGCCAGAGCGGCCTTTCGTTTCGCGGCCAGCTCTTTAAAATACGTGAACCTCTTCTCGGTGTCGCTCATGTCAACAAGCAGCGGAGCTGGCGATGGTTTGGTTGGTTGCACCAGTTGATCGGTTTTGGGAAGCGCTGCTTCAGTCGACTTGGATCGAGCCAGAAATGGCGCGGCGCGTTTAACGAACGAACTCGACGTGGTTTCTTCTTCAAATGATTTGTTCTGGCACGGCATTCCTGAGAGATCTGACACCGACTGCCTGTCCGTGTTCTCTGAAGTCACTGACAGTTTGGTTTCTTGTTCACTGCAGGCATCTGAAGAGTCGGACTCCAGTGTTCTTGTGGACATGACCTCTGAACCCTCAACAACACGCCCTTTCTTTAATAAAGCCTCCGTTTCTGAAGCTACATTCAGAAGAGTTGTTGCCTCTGGTTTAATCTCTGCTTTAGCCTTTTCAGCTTTTGTAGCTTCATCAGCCTTTCGTGCTCCTGCCAACTCTTTAAAATACAAGAACCTCCTGTACGGGTTACTGGCGTCTACAGGTTTCGGAGCAGGAGGCGTTGGTTTGGTTGGTTCTACCAACAGGTCAGTCTTTGGTAGCTCAGCTTCCGATGACATGAACCGAGTCGATGATGAAGAAGAATCTTTATCTGAAGAAGCTGACTCCGTTTGTTCCAGCGAGGTTCTTTGATGCACATCTGTTTCTGCAGAAACCGGGAGACTCGCCCTCGACGGTTTGTCCAACTTTGTTTTCCCTGAATCCAAAGGTTTGTTTTCTTGTCCAGTACATGCATCTGAGGTACTGGGATCACTGTTGACCACAGAGTTCTTCCTGCTGGTATTGTTACCACTGTGGAAAGACAAAGACGCTGACTCAGATGTTTCTGTGGAAACGACGTTCCCTGAACTCTCTACAACAGGCGTGTCCTTCAACAAACCTTCAGCTATTGACGATCTGACACTTTCTGGAGGGATTTTTGGAAGAGCCTCTTCCTTTTGGAAAACCAAACTGGTTTTAAGATCCACTTGTGGCTTTATTTCTGATTTATCCTTCGCAGCTTCATCAGCTTTTTGTTTCGCTGCCAACTGTTTAAAATACATGAGCCTCTTGTACGGATTATTTACGTCTCCATGTAGCCGACCAGCAGGCGAAGGCTTAGATGGTTCTGCCAACTGATCGGTTTGTGGGAGCTTAGCTTCAAATGACATGGATCGAGCTAAGAACGATGAAGGAGAACCTTTAAGAAAAGACATCGACTCGGTTTGTTCTTCTTTAGGTTTGTCCTGACATGCACCCGGTTCTGCAGAAACATGGAGATCCAACACGGACGGTTTGTCGAACTTTGTTTTCTCTGAATTAAACGGTTTGGTTTCTTGTCCACTGAAGGTACTTGTGTTTACGTCACTGCTGACCAAAGAGTTCTTCCTGCTGGTATTTCCACAGACATCTACAGACGCTGGTTCACACGTCTTCCCTGAACTCTCTGCAACAGTTTGAGCTAAACCCTCAGATATCGAGGCTACCTTTGGAAGAGGCTCCTGCTTCTGGAAACTTAAACTGTTTTTTAGGTCCACTTGTGGTTTGGCCTCTGCTTTATCTTTTTTCTTTTCAGCCTTTGCAGCTTCAGCAGCCTTTCGCTTTGCTGCCAGCTCTTTAAAGAACATGAACCTCTGATCAGCGTCACTCATGTCTACAAACAGCGGCGCTGTGAGGAACGGTTTGGTTGGTTGTACGGACGGATCAGTTCTGGACGGCTCTGCTTCAGAAGACTTGGATCGATCCATCGATGGAGACTCTACATCTGGCTGTTTTAACGTCTCCTTTGGTTCAGGATTATCTGAAGGATCCTTCGGTTCCCCCTCCTTCGAGGAACCTTTATCCTCAGCTTTGGACGTTTCAGCGGTTGATTTAATGAAACGACTCCATTCGAACGGTTCCCTTGCAGCCGATTTCCTCTGCCTCGAAACGTGAGAGGCGAAAGGCAGTTTTATCTGTTCGGTTTTATTTTTCTCGCTCTCTTCATCAGGCTGGTCTGCCGTTTCCTGAGGAGGCTGCTGCGACTCCAAGGAGCTGAAGATCAGAGAAGACCTCAGCCTGGAGCTCCTCTGCGTAGCAGTGTTGTACTGCCTCCTGAAGGAGTCCTCCCTTGTGAGCAAAGAGGCTTTTGGCTCCTTTTGTTCCGTCTCCTTTGTCTTTTCTCCTTCAGTTGACGACTCTGAAGGTGTCGGTGTTACTTTAATCTCTACTGCCGCTGGAGCATGTTCATCCAGATACATCTTTGGCCTCTCTTGAGGAGTTGCTTTGGCATAGCTTGGCATCTGGCTAGGCCTGGGCATTGCAGGAACCTTGAACTCTTTGACATAAGGTATTTTGGGAACTGATAAATCCATCCCTGGCGCAGTTTGCAGTGCGGGTCTAGGTGGCTCTTCAAAAGCATCCGTTCCCTGTGGTGGAACCAAAGGCAAGCTTTCTTCTTCTGGATCGTCATACGCACTCAGGTACGAGTTAATCCTCCAGTTCCTCAGTCCCTGTTTCACAGCAGGATCCTTGCGGCTAACGGCAGGATCTTGGAGGAACTGCTTTTGTTCAGCAGAGTTTGAAGGCGTGGGGGAGGTCTGATAGGCATGTGGCTGGGCTAACCCCCGTCTTTTAGAGCGGGGGGACACATACAACAAATCTGCCGCCGGTGGGAACTTCTCGGAGCTCTGGTCATAGTCTACATTTCTGGTAGATGACAAATAGCTGAGAACGGGGTCAAAGTTATCCGGTGGTGGAACCTCTTGTGGCAAATAAGGTTCAGGGTATTGATCTGTTGGCAGATAGTCTTGGTTCCAGAACCTGTCATAGGCACTGTATTCTGATTCTGGTGCTGGTCCTGGATAAGGCTGCTGGCCTCTGTGGTAAACGTTTCCTTTAGGCTCAGACTCGGGCATCCCCTGCATGAAAGGCATAGAGTGTCTACTATGGACTCCTTCGGCAAAGGAGTGCCGTTTGAAGGCAGGATTTTCTGTCATTAACATTCGGGAGGGGCCCTGATCAAAACCTGGATCCATGCGGGTCTGCTGGGGAGTAAACCTATTGTAGACATCAGCAGGGCCACGAAGGGTATCCTGTCGTTTTAGAGCCGTCATCCTCCAATTGTCATCCATCCGCTCGTCATACGAATGTCTTCCCCATTCATCTGGATGACCACTATCCAGGGATAAAAACTTCCTGGGGTCTCTGCGCAGTGCAGCGTTGTCGTTAAAATACTGTTTCTGCTGCAACACGTTCAAATCCTCCATCGGAGCGAGCACTTTCTCCACGATCAGCGGCTGGGACTGAGCAAACAGAATCCGAAACTCCTCATCGAAGGTGGTCACGAGCTGTCCGAGGAACAGGTGCGCCATGCAGCGGTGCAGCTTCTCGAAGGACCACATGAAGCTGGATCAAGACAACAACAACAAATGGAAGTCATCAGGTTTGGTGTAAACACAAACACACTGAATGCATTTCATTACAAGGAACGTCACCAGAAAATGACCAAACAGCAGAGTGGGTCAGAATAAAAGGGGTCGGTAGAATCTGTGGCCCCAGTTTACTGCACACTGCCTTTGTATTTTATTTTGAAAAGAAAAGTGGAAACTATGGATACGGGTGAGCTCAGCTTTAGTCATAATAAATAAAAAAACATCTAAACATCTGACCAGACAAATTCAAGATGGTGTTAAAAGTGTAAAACAAACAAAAAAAATCTGTCAGTTTTGCTACTTTTAGCTTGTTGCATCTTTCAGATTTGAGCTAGCCATTTGTTATTTAGCTAACCTTGGTACTTTTAGCTTTTAGCTACTGTTTTATTACTTTAAGTTAGTGTTTGTCTCTTTTTAGCTACCATAGTCTTGTCAGTATTGATTTTTTTAGTTTGCATTTTGTTCCATTTAGATTTTAGCTCATGTTTTAGTCAGTGTTTTGCACCTTTTAGCTAACCTTTTCCTGACTTTCAACTTTTAACTAGCCTTTTGCTACATTTACATTTTAGCTAGATTTGCAGTTTTGCTAATTTTAGCTAGCTTTTTTTTTTATTTTTCTTTCAGCTTTAAACTAGTTTTTGTTTTTTGCTACATTTACATTTTAGGTAGTGTTAGCTTTACTTAGCTATCATTGTGTTACATTTAACTTCCACCGTGAGTCGAACTGTAACTAGCCCTTTATGACTTTTAGCTTTTAACTAGCCTTTTGCTACATTTACATTTTAGCTAGATTTGCACTAGTTTTAGTTTTAGCTACAGTTTTGCTCCTTTTGGCTAGTCTTTTTTTAACCTTCAGCTTTTACGTAACTACTGTTTTGCTACATTTACATTTTAGCTAGTTTTAGCTTTACCTAGCTATCAATGTTACATTTAACTTTCACTTTGAGATTTGCTACTCAGCATTTGGCTGGTGTTGCTGAAATTTTAGCTAGCCCTTTATTCTATATTTACATGTTAGCTAGCTTTTTGCTAGTTTTAGCTTTTAGCTATGTTTTTTTGCAACATTTCACTAGTGCTTTTTCTTCCTTTTAGCTAATTGTTTGCTACATTTTAGTTTTTACCTCTTTTTTTGAAACTCTTAGCTTAAAGCTAGCTACACAAACTAATATTTTGCTCCTTTAAGCTAGTCTTTAGCTACTTTGAGTTTGTAGATAACATTTTGTTACATTTAGCTTCCACTTTGTGTTTTGCTACCAAAGCTTTTTGTTGATGTTTTCAACTTTTAGCTAGCCCTTTATGACTTTCAGCTTTTAACTAACCTTTGGCTACATTTACATTTTAGCTAGATTTGCACTAGTTTTAGCTACAGTTTAGCTCCTTTTGACCAGTCTTTTTATTTTTATTTTTTTACTTTCAGCTTTTACGTAAATACTCTTTTGCTACATTTACATTTTAGCTAGTTTTAGCTTTACCTTGCTATCATTGTTACATTAAACTTTCACTTGGAGTTTTGCTACTCTTAGCATTTGGCTGGTGTTGCTGAAATTTTAGCTAGCCCTTTATTCTATATTTACATTTTAGCTAGCTTTTTGCTAGTTTTAGCTTTTAGCTACAGTTTTGCCACTTTCCACTGGTGTTTTTCTTCCTTTTCCTTTTAGCTAGTTTGCTACTTTTAGTTTTTACCTCCTCTTTTGGTACTCTTAGCTTGAGCTAATGTTTAACTCCTCTTAGCTAGTCTTTAGCTACTTTTAGTTGGTAGATAGCAATTTAGTTACATTTAGCTTTCACTTGTTTGCTTCTCCAAGCTTTAAGCTGTTTTTCAACTTTTAGCTTGCCCTTTATGACTTTTAGATTTCAACTAGCCTAATTATGTTTTAGCTAGCTTTATGCTGCTTTTAGCTAGTCTTTTGCTATTTTTAAGTGTTTTTCAATAATGTGAAGAAAATCAAACATTTACAGGTGACTTTAAAAACTGTTTCAGCTTAGAATACCTTCGGCTGTCAGTGCAGCCGGTGTCTGTTAGTAAATCTGTGAGCATGATTTCTTAAAGCCAATGAAACGGACTCTTCTGACCATTTTTTTTAACCCACGGCGCCGTAAAGGTTCAAACGACCTCCCACCCACCTGTAGTTTCCACTCAGCACCGCCCTGCAGTCCGTCAGCAGGAAGCGGTCCATCATCTGACCCTTGAAGGACCTTCCCGAGCGGCACCGATATGCGATCCCAGACACGGTTCTGACTCGTAAAAACTGCAAAACACAAAAAAAGATAAACATTTATATGATTTGGGTTTAAAGGAGTCAGAAGTGTTCAGGTGACTCAGCTGAGACTTTATAGAAACGACCACAGTCGTGATCAGATGCTCCGCCCTCTTTCAGTTTCAGGGTTTTATCAGAACAAAAATAAAATCTCTTCAGCAGGTTCTGAAATTATTTAACTCCAACCTACGGAAAACAAAAACACCACAGAGTCCACCATGTTGTTATTTTAAAAAATGTATTAAAAAAATGAAGCCGAAATGGAAACATTAACATGCAGGTGTGCGTTAACACAACGCCGAGGCAGAAAGACATCAGCAATGACCACAGAGAAGAACTGTAGAAGGGTCAAAGGTAATTTAGAGTCCATCATTTTACAGAGAGAAGGCTGATCCACAAGAGGAAAACATTTCAGACAGCTGACGGTCCTCACAGCTGATTCACCCCGAAGGTCAGACCATGCAGTGAGCTCCATCTCAGACTCTATAGGCCTCAGTCAGCAGGTCAAAGGTCATGGCCTCTTCAGTCTAAAAACAACATGGCAGCACCACTGAGGTTTGAAAAGTTTCATCTGAAGGAAACTTGGACCAAACTGGGTCCAATAGGACCACGATCCACAGCAGATCTATAACAGAACGGGTCAAAAAGAAGAGTGCAGAACCTCAACCTGACTGAAACGCTGTGGTGGACCTTCAGAGAGCCCAGCAGAAACCAGCAATGTAAAGAAGAGTGGGCCAGAACTGCTCCAGAACCATGAGGCAGAGAACCACTGAGTTCTGCTGCTGCTACAGAACCGGTTTTTCCACACACAGCTTTAACTTTTTGGCTTCACTTGAGTTTTTTAAAGTCCCGACACGTAAATCCCCAGAACTGACAGAGATCTTCCTCTTCCCCGTTTGTCTAAACAAAAGTCGAGTTTGGGTTTTTCAAACGCAGAACCGCCTCGACACCTGCAGCTTCTGCTTTTTCCTGGACGCCTCGACACAAACCGGCACACAGAAATAAATCCAGTAATTTACGGTTCCGACGAGAAATCAAGAACGTGCTCGCCTCTGAGAACGGGCCGACCCCGTCTGCAGCCGACAGAACCGAGCTCAACAAACCGAACCTGAAACGCAGGCAACGTTCTGAAACGGGGGGTGGGGAGGAGGAACTGTGGAGAAGAATTTATTGTGTTGCTCAGCCGAGAGACATTTTATTCTCCAGGTGCAGGGGTGGAGCTGGGTGGTGGTTGTGGTGGGCGGGGGGGGGGGGGGCACAATGGTGGTCTTGACCACCGTAGATTAATCTTCAGCCATCCCAATCATTTAAGGAAACTACCATACATTTAAGCAATATAAAACTAGAAAATTTCCTCAAATGATCAAGGTGGCTGGTTTACATGCATGTATGGCGGCAGCCATCTTGCATTCTGATGTGGCAACCCAATTCTCCATAGTGACGTTTCTTACACAGCCACACACCAAAAACAGAAGTCAGCACGTTGCTTATGTTTCAAATTATCCAGCTCACAAGATGAACGGACGGAGAGTATTTCCAGTTCGCCTCTTCGCTCCGTGACGGGGCAAAAAAATTGTTGTTTGTTTTCTTCTTGTTGTTTAACAAACCAGGTTCAGCACTATAGTCTAATGAACATTACTATATCTGTTGATTCATGTATCCCTACAACTATAAACAGAGGTGACTTCATGAGATTCTTGCAAAATAAAATTATTTCAATTAGGGAAAAAAAATTCAAACCATTCTTCCTACTATCGCCTCTGGTTCCCTGTCAGATGAGGCAGCTTTAAAAATGTCACTAGAACCTGATTTATGTTTGGACAGTTTTTGTCCTGTTGAGCTCTCTGAATTGTCAAAAACAATAGCTTCATCCAAACCATCCACATGCCTGCTAGATCCCATCCCAACCAGACTGTTTAAAGAGGTATTTCCCCTAATTAATAACCACATCTTGGATCTGCTTAATTTGTCTCTAATAAATGGTTACATAACACAGAGCTTTAAGACTGCTGTAATTAAACCTTTACTTAAGAAACATAACCTTGACTCAGGAATCCTAGCCAATTATAGACCTATATCTAATCTAACTTTCATCTCAAAAATTCAAGAGAACATAGTTGCAGGTCAGTTGCGTGAACATCTATAAAGAAATAATCTGTTTTGAAGAGTTTCAGTCAGGGTTTAGAGCTCAGAGCACAGAAACAGCACTAGTAAAAGTCACTAATGATGTTCTCATGGCCTCTGACAATGGACTTGTGTCTACACTGGTCCTGTTAGACCTCAGTGCTGCATTACACTACACAATACAGTTCATTGTAATATTCTTCTACAGAGACTTGAATATTGGAATTACAAGAACGGCTCTAAATTGGTTTAAAACATATCTATCTAATAGATTCTAATTTGTAAATATAAATAATGAATCTTCTTCATACACTAAAGTTCATCATGAAGTTCCTCAGGGTTCAGTGCTTGGACCAATACTCTTTACTTTATAAATGCTTCCATTACGTAAAGTTATTAAACAGCATGGGATAAATGTTCATTATTATGCTGATGACACACAATTATATTTGTCCATTAAACCCAATGAATCCAATCAGCTACTTAGACTACAAGCATGTCTTAAAGACATAAAAACCTGGATGACTCTAAATTTTCTCCTGTTGAACAGACAAGACTGAGGTTTTAGTTTTTGGACCTGAGCACCTTAGGAATGAATGTTTCAGTCTTTCTCCCTCCTTAGATGCATTAATCTGTCCTCCAGCTCTAATGTTAAAAATCTTGGTGTTATTTTTGATCAGGACACGTCTTTTATCCCCCACATTAAAAACGTTACTAGAACCTCCTTCTTCCACCTGCGTAATATCAATAACATTAGAAACATCTGATCTAAAGATGATGCAGAAAAACTGGTCCATGCATTTGTCACGTCTAGACTGGACTATTGCAATGGTTTATTATCTGGGTGTCCAAATACTTCTTTAAAACGTCTTCAGTTGATCCAAAATGCTGCTGCCAGAGTCTTAACTGAAGTTACTGGGAGAGATCATATCTCTCCAGTTTTAGCTTCTCTCCATTGGCTCCCTGTCAAATCCAGAATAGAATTCAAAATCTTACTTCTAACCTACAAAGCTCTCAACAACCTAGGTCCATCTTATTTTACAGATCTTATTGTTCCATATTTTCCTGACAGAGCACTTTGCTCTCAGACTGCAGGTTTACATGTGGTTCCTAGAGTTTCCAAAAGCAGAATGGGAGGAAGATCTTTCAGTTCTCAGGCTCCTCTCTTGTGGAACCAACTTCCAGTTTCTGTCCGTGAGGCTGACACATTGTCCAGTTTTAAGACTTTCCTTTTTGATAAATCCTTTAGTTACGGTTGGCTTGTTATGCTGCTATAGACTTAGACTACTGGAGAACAAATTGACCTCATTTCCTTAAATGAATTGTTAAAATTGAATAGTTTTCATTTGATACTATTTCTATCTTAATATGTGATTCTTGACCTGCCATTGTGTATCTATTCCTCTCAAACCCAGCTGGTCGAAGCAGATGGTCCTCTTGTCCTGGTCCTGGTTCTGCTAAAGGTTTCTTCCTCATGAGGGAGTTTTTCTTTCCACTGTCGCCTTCATGCTTGTTCAAGATGAGAGTTCAGTGATGGAGTTAAACTCAAAGCTGCTCCTCAGATAAATAATGTTCAATTATTATTTTATAGATGAATGTTTCTGTTAATTATTATTTTATAGATGAATGTTTCTGTTCAGATGACTTCTGTTGTGACTTGGAGCTTTATAAATAAACTGAACTGAATTGTTTTGCCAAACCTTGAAAATAATGTCTTGAAACATCCGAGTTGTGAAGAATCACTCTCAGCTACTACCACGTCAAAATTCAGCTCAATATCCGTGAAACTGACCGAGTTAAAGCCCTTTACGTGTTGGCTAACATCAACTAGCTGTGGCAGCCATCTTGAACTGGGTTGACTCCAAAAGTTAATTGGTCATAAAAGTCAAATCGAACGATTACTTTCTGGGAATTTTCGTTAAAATCCATTTAGTCGTTCATGAGATATTTTGCTAACAGACAAACTGAGCTGACTGAATAGTTGATGGAGAGGTCTCGGCTACTACCGCACAGACAACCAGCTCAATATCAGTAAAACTCGTTTGTTGTGCTGAGCGCAGCGGCCATTTTGAACTGCTGAAAAAGTCGCCCTCACCTGGAAGTTGTCCAGGTCGACCCGGCAGTTGGCCACCATGTTGACGAAGTGATGAGCGTTCTGCTCGTCCAGCAACACGTAAACGGCCACTCTCCTCGCCGCTGCGTTCAGGATGTCCGCGAACATGTCCACGTCCGTGAACACGTCCATCGCCACGGCAACCACCTGAGGAGCCGAAGGAGACGAACAAGATGAGTACGGCGGAAACAGGAAGCTTTGAAAGGAAAGGAATGCATATCGCCCGCCGCTTTTCACGCCAAAATATTGGACCAAGATCTTGTTCATCAAATCTGAGCAAACTTTTGGTGCTCAGAGTGTGTCAGGATGACTCTCAGCTACTACCACAACTAATTTTAGCACAATATCAGGAAAATTAGCTGAATTTTAGCTATTTTGGTGCTTTTTAAAAAATCAATTAGCTGTGGCGCTATCAATCAGGTTGACCTCAAATCTTCATCAGTTCACATTTCAAAGAGCACTTTTGAAAGTTTGATTAAAATCCGACCAGTGTCCCATGAGATATTTTGCTAACAGAGAAGCGGAGGAGAAAGGCGGACCTGCTGAGCGTTCTTGATGAGCCGCCGGGCCTGCTCCTTGATACTTGGCATGTCCGGCTCGGGGGGGTTAACCAGGGTCGTGACCTCTGTGGGCTCCATGAAGGCGTGCATCTGAGGCCAGCCCAGGTCCAAACCCGGGACCTCCAGGTCCGAGTGAACGGGCCAATAAGTGTCGGAGGATCCATCTCCACCGACGTCCAGGAAATGCTGCTGCTGCTCGGGATGGCCGCTCTGCCTCGGAGTCTGAACGCAGCTCTGGATGTACTGAAGCTCGGAGGTGGACAGGAAGTCCACCACGTCCACTTTCTGCAGGAACTCATAGTACCCGTCCAAACCGGACTCGACCAGTGCGTCCACAGCCAGGCGGTACTCCTCCCGGTAGTGGGGTGGGAGGTAGTTGGGGTCGAGGGGGTTATCCCCAGCGGAGGAGCACTGGGAGCGACGAGCCATGCTGCAGATTAAAAAAGAACAAACAGGAAATGAAGTCATGCTCGTTTAGAGGATTTTTACACGTCGTTCCCGTTGAGATACACAAAAACCTCTTCGGTTCCTTCAAAAACATTCGTCTCTTTGAAACACATCAGAAAACTGACCGTCTTCTTGAGCTTCCTTTAGCTACTGTTCCGCTGCTATTAGCTGGACATAATTAACTGTTACATTTTGCTACATACAGCTAGCCTTTTTCTCCTTTTAGCTAGCATTTTAATAATGTTAGCTAAACTTTAAACTATTTAATACATTTAGGTTTAGCTTAAAGTATTAAAACGCTACTTTTATATAGTTACATGTCATTTTTAGCTTCTAGTCGGACCTTTTCTACGTGTACATCTTAACATTTTATCACCTTTAGTCTCTAGCTAGCTTTTGTCTCCTTTAACAAATGTTTGACAACTTTTAGCCTTTAGCTAGCTTTTTGATACTTTTGGTTAGCTTTTTGTTACTTTTAGAAAAACTTGTGCTACTTATAACCTCTTGCTACCCTTTAGCTACTTTTGCATTTTATCCACCTTTCTGCTACTTTTGGGTTTTGTTAAGTTTTATGTAAAATGATGCTGCTTGTAGCTTTCATTTGCTACATTAAGCTAGACGTTTGCTACTTTTGTGTTATTTTTAGCTTAACTTTTGCTACATTTGGCTAGCTTTTTATTACTTTTAGCTTAGCTTTTGCTACTTTTGGCTAGCTTTTTATTACTTTTAGCTTAACTTTTGCTACTTTTGGCAAGCTTCTTGTTACTTTCAGATAACATTGTGCTTTTTTTTAGCTTCTAGGTAGCCCTTTGCTACTTTCAGGTTTCAGCTATTGGTTTGCTACTTTGGGTTACTTTTAGCTAATTTTTGCTGCTTTTAGTTACAATTATGCTTTAATTTCTGTTTAATTAGGTGTTTGTTACTTTTAGCTAAACTTTAGCTAGTATTTCCTAGCTTTTAGTTA